ATACTCGAAGCCTCAAGGAGAAAACGCAAGGCTGCGGCAAGGACTCTCTCGACTCTCTCGCTTTATGCCTTCGCGTCGGATCACTGGCACGGGCTCGGGGTGGGGGAAAGGAAAGGAGAGGGAGGGGCGACGTCTAAACGCGCGAAAGTAAGTAACTCATACATAATTAATCTCTCCCCGGGAACGAGCGAACGAGAGAGAGAGAGAAAGAGAAAGAGAAAGAGAGAGAGCGACGACGATCGATATTTCCCATCGCCTTCGCCTCGACTCGACTCGACGCTCCTCCTCCCGTTCGATCAAAATTATCGACGAGACATTTTTAACATTTTATTCGACATTTCTCGAGATAAAAGCCGAAGGTTGATCAAGCGAGTGGATCGAAGAGAAAGGATAAATAAATTAGCTTGATATTTGTAAGAAAAATTATCAGTTCTTTCTCTCTTCGTAAATTCCTTAATTCTTCCTCTCCTGTTAACCTCTTTCTCTTTCGCTCTAAAAAGCAATTTCGAAAAATCGGACGACGTTTAAATTGGAGCACGACGAATTCGTTAGCGTCTCGTTCCCGGTACGTTAACACCTTCTCCATCGCGTTGTTACGTGGTTAGCACGTAGTTCATCCATGGCGAGCGATTAACGCGCGAGATGCAATATTTGTGCCGCGGTTGCACAACGATATCGAACGGCGACGACGACGGTGCATAACACGAATCGATAGACAAAATTGTACCGGTATCGAGCGAACAGTTTCACGTAACCGGACACTGGGAGCACACCTTAAGGCCATTTTACAACGCTACGACCAACCGCATTGCTAGACGTACGTGTATATGCCGCGCCCGGTTCAACGGGCTATTCACTTACCGATACTGTTATTGCCAAACACTCCGCCATTAATGATTTACCGTCTTAATGAACAATAACCGGAATCCCGCAGAGAGGCACGCGATTCGGTACATACGAACCGTTGCTTCCTGTTCCAGTCGTTTTTCCAGAACAGTTGCTTCTCTTTCTTACCTTCAGAGAGATTGCATCGCGCTCTGAGGCACAGTGGATAGTCTTTTTCATTGCATTTTTGAACGAGATAGAATTTTAAATTTTGCTTGTTCACATTCGATGGCATATTCGGTTGGATATTGCGTTTCGATTGAACGTAAAGGAAATGAAAAAATTGTATAATTTAATGATTCCAAGTTGATTCATTTTCTGGGTATACATTTATATATTGGCGATGACTCGATCGAACTTGGGGAAAAATTTTTAGAAATCGTAGGTATAATTGATACGTGGAATTTATCGTAGAATCGGAATTAAGGCACGAGTGATAAATTGACTTCGTATATCTCGGATCTTTCACAAGTTGACGCGTCGATATAAGAATTTCTTTCGTTTTCGACGTTTATTCGACTTGTTTACATCGACGATAAACGCGATGACTCAATTTTATTCGAGAATCATCGATGATGATATTGTCGTGCTCGTTCGTTCGATGAAGAAACGAAGGAAAATTCGAAGGTTTAAGAACAAGGGTAATAATTATTCTAGAGTTAAACACTTCGAGGGGAATGATTCCAAGTGCGAATGTCACGTGGTTCGCTCGGTGGGTAAAACAGGAATGTAACGACGAGGTCACAGACCTTTGACACGAAGCCACGTTTAAGGTCACGTGCGGAACGTCGCAACGACCTTGGAGGCGTGCACCTCCAGTATCGACGCCAGGCGCGATGGGTAAGCACTTTCAAGCTTGAACTTTCCGATAAGATAATATCCTTTCCAGATTCTCGACTAATCTGATTCTTCGTCGATAAAAATAACAATAACAAGTAAGATAACGATTAAAAATTAAATTTCTCCATTATACAATTTCGTAATTTCAAATATATAATTATAACACATTCTAATGTGTTATATTATATATTTGCTCATTAATTAATTTAATCTCCTATCTTTCCATTAATCGTACACTTTCGAACGAATTGAAAATCGAGATTTTTCAAAACGTATACCGATCGAAAAACACGTTTTTCGAAACAATTTTTCGTTTTTCAAAACCAGAATAAGAAATACTTGTTATTAAACGCGTTAATTGGAGATCAAACAGCATTAATCCCTCTCGCCCAACAACCTTCCCCCCGTAAAAAGATCACAGGCTAATTACTCGTCCTAATAAATACGCCCGTAATAAATCCGGTTGTTTACAAGCGGTGCGGCTCCACAGTGAGGGGTGGAATTCCACGATTAATGGGTTAAGGTGGAACGCGTATCTCTGGCCCGCATCTGCGCTCACGACACGCATCGCGAACACGTATCTCACGCGCACACAAAGCCGCGCATATGAATCCCATCCGTCCCGAAGAATCTTCGCAAGTGTGTATCGTGGAGGTGCCTTCTTTTTTTTTTTTTTTTTTTTTTAATCTTTACTCTTTCCGTTCGTTTTTATTCCCTTTCTTCTTTCCTCGACGCGTTAATTTCCATTTGCGAACGAACCTCCTCCGGTCTTGGATGAATTATGCATCGACGGCGCAAGTTGATCGAACCGCAATGGAGCGCTTTCCTCGCGTACTTGTGATTAGGCGAGCCGATTTTCAACCGATAAGGATCCGGTGGTTTCTTTTTTTCTTCTCTATTTTTTTTTTTTTTTTAGAAT